CCCCCCCCCCCCGATCAGCATCAGCATCTTCAGCATCACATTCATGTCCTGTCCCAGTAATAAAAATAATGTGGGAGAGAGCTTTGTGTCTTTTAAGCTAGCCATTGCCTGCAATGGACACAGTAATAGAAAAATATGACTTCTGGCACAAAAAGATTAAATAGTTACAGTGGAATTAGTCACCACAATTTCATCTATTTGGGTGCATTTACTGAGACTGTTAACCAATGGTGGCATCTGGCATGACTTAACTGTTGCTCTCTTTTTATAAAAGCAACAGGAGAGAAGTAAGTTGGACTTGATAGTCTACTATAGTCCCTCTGCATGCTTTTTTTGGTGTTTTCTTTTTTTAAATAAACCTAAGAGCAGTAGTTCTATGGCGCATTAGTGATACACAGCAGGACCTCAATAATTCATACTAATGACTGAGACCAATTTTAAACTCGCAATCAAAATAATTACTAAAAGTTTACCATAGAAAGCAAGAATACACATTTAAAAAAAAAAAAAAAAAAGCACTTTGTTCATTTCAAAATTTACTTGGATAATACTTTGTAGTATACTAGCAGTAGTAGCATATTTTGCAAACGTAGTCTCATACAAGATCTCATTTAACAGTCAACTCTAGATCATATACAGGTAACAGGAGAAAGAGTTAAGCTAATTCAGACAGAACAAAACCATATATAAATACTATATTAACATATTTAAGTTAGTTCATCAGACTATACAAGCAGAAACACAGAGCACACTCAGCGATGCCTGGGAAGCACCACTGCCCCAAGCTGGGCTAAGCCCCACTATATCTCCTGTGCATTGGCACGTGGCACCACACCAGCATTCGCTACAGCTAGCTTGGCCGTGCAGGCTGCACAGCCAGCACACAACACTGGTCATCCACCCATGGATAATCGAGAGTTGACTGCAATGCTCCGCTGAGAGGTTGGGTAAGACTACTGACACAACCCAGGACTGATGAGCAGCAGACTATTCTGAACTACTTATGAGCAATTAGCATACAAGATGCGTATTGGAAATGCAAACTAGCAAAGTGTTCTGTATCTGGAGGCAAAGCTACATTCCCTTCGCTAACAAAACATTCTTTTAAAAAATCTACACTTAAATACTGTTGAAAACCTGAAAACCATAGCATCAAAGAATTTTGTAAGGCCAAAACTATCCTCAGTTCCCTCCGTTGTGCCTGGGTATTGTAATACATTTGAAGTAGCAAACACTAATGCAGTTTAGTATCCCACACTCCTTCCAGCGCCTTCCAGTAACAGATCTCAGAGTTCGTCACGTAAGAGTTGAGCCTCACAACACCCCTGTGAGGTAGGTATTATTCCCATGTTAAGACAGGGAATCCGAGGCAGAGTGTTTATCCGACGTGCCCAGAGTCATACAGCAAACAATGGAAGATGTGAGCAGCTTTCCAGTTTGGAATACAGGAGCAGTCAATTAATGACCAGGCATTATTCCCCATACACAACTCACAGGTGGATCAAGAGGGTCAGGGTTTTAGATTAGATTCCTTTTAAGTTTTATCTTCAACTCTCACCTAGTCTCCGCCAGATTCAGAGTCCACAGATCAGCTTCTCCTGTGAAGGTGTAAGTTGGCAGCACGCTGTAATAGCTTCTTTACAGCCAGCTGTCAATTAACTGATTTAACATTTAAAACCATAGAATCAGATACTCCTTAAGTGAAATTATGTGATATACATCTTATAAAGTAAAGTACAGCGAGTGAAATCCTGCTCCCCCATACACTTTAGCAGAAGCCAGACAGACACTCCCAAGGATGCTGCAGAGACCAGGATCGCGGTCACTGCAAGTGCTTGCAGACAGACTTAACTAAATGCAAAATGCCTCACTGGATTACTGTTTATGAAGGCTATGCCAATGCTTTTGAAAAGCATCAGTTTTACTGTCAGAGCTTGACAAACTTCCCCCCGACAGAGCTCTTACTGACACAACTAAGTTATTCTTTTATTAGTAAACTCAGCATCAGTTAAAGCTGAAGCTCCAGCTCTTCATTCATGGCAGAGTCAAGGCTTCCTTAAGCTCAAAGACTTTTATGATGATACACAACTTGGAAATAATGAAAAACACCAGAAAATCTGTAAAATATTAAGGTAGGCATTACTTTATCTGCCAGTCTCACATCCTGATCACACAGAGTATACAGTAGCTTGAACTTTCATTTCCAGAAAAAAAAAAAAAAAAAACCTTTTCACATCTGATATTTTCACAGGCCATTGATTTTAATTACCTCACTACCTTACCAGAAAAGATGGGGATGGTTTCTAACAATCATTTGACGCTTTCTTAAAAATATGCTATGTGATATATTCGTAAGAAAAACCTTCACATTTTTTATTACATAAGATTAAGAAAAATATGTGAAACTGACAAAGTGGTTTCCAGTTTTAAGTAGTTATATCTTTAAAAATGTTCTATCAACTTTGGTTTCCTTAGGGCTTCTAAATAAACAATATATTAAAATATCTACAAATCAAATATTAAAGGAAAAAGCAGGTCCAAGAGATCTGTAACACAAATTGAGTTCCTATATGCTTATCCCTCAAGTATCTTTTAATTGAAAAAAAAAATAATTTGAAGCACAACAAAAAGTGTCTCAGCTGAAATGTTGAAACTGGTTTTCTGAAGTTGTTACAGCATCGATGCACTTTCTGTCTGTCTCAGTACAAAGTCAACAGAAACGTTGTATATGACAGTGACATCACGTTCTTTAGAACAAGCATTCTAGATTTAGCAATATGACAAGAACAAGGAGCTCAGCAATTACACTACTTGGCAAAATTGCATCTCAAACATTTGTCTCTTCCTCTTGCAACACAGCTGTTGTCAAAGTCACCAAAACTCAGGTAGCACCATTCAGGGAGTTACAAAGATGATTCAAACTGCTCGTTTTGATCGGTGTTTGCCTCTAGCTTAACTGCAGGTACGCTCTCCGATTTAGTCCTTCTAGTTTTGTTATGTGGAAATTCAATGACAACCTCTGAACAAGAAATACTAAGCGAAGAAGATTTTTCTGTCTTCTTTCCAGTATTATCTTCTACTGTTCCACAACACTGCTTCAAAGCACACTGAGTTCTGCAAGGAAACTCGCATTTCCCTCTCCCTGATTCAGAGCCAACACTGGCAAACTCGGGCTGGATGGTAGTTGCGTGAATCCCTTCATCGTGAAAGATCTCTTTTATGCGCTTTGCCACCATCATGTACGTGGAAGGGTCAGGACACTTTATGTGAGCTGTGCCAATGATCCTACTGCCTGCTAGCTGCCAAATGTGTAATTCATGCACTGCTTCAACTCCTTCAAGGGTACGTAATTTTGAGTTCAAAGAATGAACATCTATTTGTTTGGGAACAGTCTGCAGAAGTATAAGGGCCGACTCCCTAAGTAACGGGTAAGTTGTGTAAAGGAGGATACAAACCATAATCAAACAAAGAACAGGGTCTAAATATAGTAACCAGCATGGACCAGCCACCGTAATGCTCTCTTGCTCAGACTTGTTTACACTGCCAAGAGGTTGGGATAAAGTAGCATTCTCCACGCAATGGCTATTGACACACGGATTAAAGCAGGGCCCATCTTTGGGGCATGGATTCCACAAACCATAAAAGAGCAAGGCATTCACTACGACAATTACTGAACCTAAGGCATCTCCAAAAACATGCAGAAAAACTCCACGCATGTTAAGCTGCGCGCTAGAGTCTTCCTCAACCTCTTCAACATCCAGAGGATAATGCCCAGCATTCCCATTCACTTGTAGGTCCGTCGTGTCGTCCTTCATATCACCTGACAAGAAAGCAGTAGAACATTAGGCACATGCTATAATAATAATACACATTACTACAATTCCATATAAAATAATTATCAACACTAAGCCTGCCTCATGCAGTACAAAACTGAAAAACAAGCAACTGGCCCATTATGTTTCTATTTTACCAAAATTCCACTTCCACCTTATCCAGCTGCTTAACCATTAGGCAACTTACTCTTCATTTCTCAAGCAAAATGAAGAATTGTGGAGCATATACTTAAAGGTTGCTTAAGTAGCTATGTAATTTATATTTGCTTCATCTTGTGAAAGGCCAGATAATCACATTGCTAAAACCTCTCTAGCACGACAGCAGTGCAGTTCTGTTTAATATTGCATCTTATGAAATTAAAAGCTCACAAGCAGCTTGGATGCTACTTTATAGTCATTTATTTTCAGGTTGAGCAGTTCATTTCCAAAAGACTTCTGAAATCAAGTAGGAGGAATCATTCCCGAGACACCAGCAGAACTGTGAGATACAATGAGCTGAGCTTTGGAGGTCTAACAGGCAGAATTTGTCACCAGCATTGACAATAGGACAAAATAAGTTATCACTTAAGTTCTCAGAGGCTATGAATTTGGGCTGTTTGCATTCCAGAGTATATAAAAGCTTATTTTTAATACTTTTGTTGGTTTTCAAATAACACATTGCTGTTGAGTGGCATATAGCTGTTGATGCCCAAAGCCATGTATTACGAATCACGTAATTCATAAAAGAATATTTTAGTGCCCTCCCTTATCAAAATGGGCTCCATCACACCCAACAAGCTACATAGGAACAAACACACACAACATTATAAAGAGGCAGCATGAAGTTCTTGAAAGAAATCATTTTCCAAACTTCAGCATTGGAATTATTTTACAAGATTAACTTTTTATGCTTCTTCAGAAGATCTTTGGACAGACAACTTACAGTGTTAAAGAAACGTAACAGGCACTGGCCTGACAAAGTAAAACAAGAAGCTCTCACTGCTTCCATAGTTATTGACTTCAGAGCTTTGTAAACATTAACGTGTTAATATGACCTGCAGCTTTTGTAATTCTGCTCTCATGACTGTAATTCTGTGATCATAAGTGTCTCCAAGGCCCTCCCTCTCCCAAGAAGGAGGCAGGCACATACAGAGGTGGCTGAGAGGTAAGTCAGTCCCAAGCCCTCAGCTCATCACACTGGGCATCACACTTTTGTCCTAAAGCTCCAGCTACATTTTCCACGGTTTCTAGGAGTCACGGAACAAGGAAACATCACTGGCACCAGTAATTTTCCAGAGAAATGGGTGAGTTAGAGGAAAATATCTTGAGTTACAGAGTTCAGACTTCAGGGTTCACAATGAGGGCACAGAAAGAGGACACCTTCTGATCTTGCTCCATCCCAAGCATTTGGGACAAAGGGGATTTGGAGAGCCAGTGAATAGGGATGGATAGCAAGAAACAAGGTTCCAGAAAGCTCTGAGTCTTTTAATGGTTAAAATGTCTCGATTTGAATTTTGACTCATTTAAAACCAACTATAAACAGATTACTTTAAACAAAATGTATGCACAAAGATTGCCTGTGCAGGACTAACCCCTGAGGCTATCATAAGGATTTCACTTCAATTTCAGGAGAAGAGAGCCTACCCTTCTTCACAATTCCCTGCTGAGATACAGCACCAATTTCAGTCATTTCCTGATTTTCACTTGTACACCTTACAGCTTCTTACAAGTCTTCATGCACCTTTACCTGTGACACTTCCATGGGTCAACAATGAATAACTCCATCCTTACATAATCATGACATGGCAGAGAAGGAAAGGCAAACTTACTTGAAAGTTTCACCATGCCCAAAATTACGCCCTGTTACTTACTAAATGCCCACAACAAATTATTTGCTATTGCTGGAAGGACACCCACAAGATGTTCCAGACAAGTTGCCCAAAAACAGTATACGTTTTAATCCACAAGAGAAGCCAATCTTTTAGCTTACAACTAGACAAGAATTTAGCTGAAAGCACAACTTACATTCCAACAGGCAAGAACAATTCACAGGCCAAGGTATCAATTAGATCAACAGCTAAGTGAATTTTACATTGTTTGAAACTAATTGTTAGAATACTTTTGTTGGGACTAACATGACATTAAGAGCTTATTTTATTTTGTGGTTAAGAAAGGAGTGCAATATACTCAGAGGAACTTTCAACCTTTTCAAAAGCAACAGGGAGTCAAAACACTCAAGAAACCAAAGAGAAAAAGAGGAACTCCAAGTTTCTCAGATGTCCATGAGAACTTCTGACCACTGAAATACTGAAACTGTAGCAAAGTTCACTCCACAGAGGAAAGAGCAACCTAAGCTAATTCAGCAGTCTCTCTTAATGTTGCCCTGAGAAGAAAGGAGATATGTGGATCAGAGGACTGAGGAAAAAAAAAAAAAAGGAGAGATGTGGGTCCAAAGACTGACACTCTTTCTTCCCTGTTACAGGGACGCAGTAAGAGTGGAGAAGCAGCAAACATGCAACTTCCACTGACACACCATATTCAGCTTAGACCAAGTGACTTCAAAACAAGCCACCCAGGCGCCTGAATCCACTAAAAAAATAACCCAAGACATTCCCTCCCACAAAAAAGACAGTGTAGCCAGAACCAGGGAGAGAAGATTTTAACAAACAAGTGAATGGGAAGCTGCATTCTTCAGAAAGCTCAAGAAAGTTAACTTGAAATCACACGTGTGCTCTGAAACCAGCAAGCTCTGCATTCAGTGCCTCCTGCATGACTTCCTCAACACCAATTGGTAATCTCCAAGATTTCTTCCTACGCACACCTCGAAGAAGCACCGCGTTACTGCAATGGAATATACTTCAGTACGCTGCATCCAGAGGGAAAAAAGCTCTCAGGTAGCTGACAACTGAAGCAACAGAGAGACCTGGCCGTCGGGACCAAGGCGCTGAGCTGCAGTTCGATGCACAGCCAGTTGAGCCGCCAGGGCACTGCCTTGTGACAGGCGAACACCACTTGTCACGCGCCTCCTCTGCCAGCACCAACTTTTCCCAAGGCAAAGAGCGCTTCACCCAGAGCTGCCCGCGAGAGAAAGGCACGACCCAAGGCGCTGCTTTCAGCACCCGGGCAAAAGGAAAGGTTTGAGGCGGAGGTGCCGCCTGCCCCGCTGAGCAGCCCTCCCGCCGCTCCCCTCAGGGGACGGGCGGCCCCACGGAGCTCGTGCCACCGCCGTCCTCGAGGACGGGACCCGTCCCGCCCCGCCGCGATGGGCAGGGGGCGCGCGGGGCTTACCCAGCTTCTCCTGGCTGACCCCGTTGGAGCCGCTGCAGTTCTCCACCAAGGTGCTGGTCTCCTCGCGGTGCAGCGCGGCCTCCCCGTCGCCGGGGCTTTGCTCGGCCTTGGCGCTGCCCCGGGAGAGCCGCGCGCCGCCCCCGTGCGCGTGGCCGTGGCCGTGGGAATGGCCGTGTCCGCCGACGCCGTGGTGGTTGAAGAGGCAGAGCCCCAGCAGGTTGATGACGAGCCCCGCCACCCCGACGGCGATGACCACCAGCGGCTGCTGGATCTCGTGCGGCTCGGTGAAGCGCTCGATGGCCTCCAGCAGGATGGTGAAGCAGAGGGCGGTGAGGAAGACGGCGTTGACCAGGGCGCCCATCACCTCGGCGCGCACCCAGCCGAAGGTGTTCTTCTTGGTGGCGCGGGTGCGCTGGGCGAAGCGCACGGCCACCAGCGCCACGACCAGGGCCATGACATCGGAGAGCATGTGGAAGGAGTCGGACAGCATGGCCAGCGACGACGTGACGCGGCTCACCACCACCTCCACCACGAAGAAGAGGAAGGTGAGCGCCAGCATGCACAGCAGCCGCGCCCGCCGGTTCTGCCACCACCGCGGCCCGCCCGGCCCCTTGGCCGCCATCCCCCCGCACATCGCGCCGGGGCGAGCGACGGCGGCCGCCGGCCCGGCCCGGCCCGGGCGCGAGGAGAGCCGCCGAGCGGCCCGCGGCGGAGCCCCGACGGCGAGCGCGGCCCCGTCTCCGCCGCCGCCGGCCCGGCCGCCGCCGCTCCCTCCGCTGGCGCCGGGCGAGCAAACTTTGCACCCGAGCCCCCTCACTCTTTCCACACGGAACCCGAGCCGGCACGGCCACGCCCCCCAGCCCGCGCCCCATTGGCCGCCGCCCCTCCGCTCGGCGCGGCCCGCCCGCCCCCGCCCCCCGCCTCGTCCACCATTGGCCAGCGCGCCCTCGCGACAGCCGGCCCCTCCCCGGCGGGACCGTCCATCGCCGGGCCTGCGGGCGGGGCTCGGCGTGACGTCACGCGAGCGGCGGCTCCGATTGGCGAAGCCCGTCGGCTTCTGCCTCGCGGTCCCGCCCCGCGGCGAGCGGGACTCGTGCAAAAGGTGCGCTTCTTCACACGGCCCGGCCGGCGCGCGCTCGGGGGGCGGGGCTCCCCCTGCGGGCCGGGCGGGTTCGCGCGGGGCTTTGGGGAGGTGGGGGGGGGGTCGTGACGGCTTCGTGACGTCACGCGCGGCCGTTGGGGCCGGGAGCGGCTGTGTGAGAGGGGAGGGCTGCGCTGCGCTGCGGGTAACGGGTGTGGCGATGGGCGCCGCCCTGCAGGCGCTGCTTGGGCACAGGGAGCTCCGTCCGTAATTTTCCTCCCGTTTCTGAAAACGTTAGGACGGGCGGTGAGGAAATCATGTCAGCGATGAGCTGTGGCTGCAGCTATCAGAGTTACGTGGTTTGTAGTTACAGCGTACGTAGTCACGTGTATCGTCGTTTATAGTTATGTAACTTCTGATCATTGACAGTTTAAATGTTCGGTCAGAAGAAGGAAGTAATTGTGCCTGAGGAGGTTTTGGAAAACTGTAGTCTAAAAAAACATTCAAACGCTTATAAATCAGTCCGTAGATTTTAATCATTCTGTTGCATTTGTGGTCAAGGAAAGAAAAAGGAGAACCTCTTTGGAGACTTCTGGAAAAATGTCAAAAATATAATCACAGAAATTATGGAATGGCAGAGTTGAGTCCTTCCTTTCCGCTGCGGGAGGGCCAGCAGATATGGCAGCAAGGAGCAGTGTTAGGAACGTTCCTTGCACGGGTGGAAAAGGAAGAGCAAGCAGACAAGTTGCCATCGCTGCTTGTAATGTGGAGGCATGGCTTGGTGTATGCAGTGCACGCGGGCAGCGTGAAATCCAGTGCTCGGGAAGGAAGATGTAGCAGGAATACAGGAGCCCATTGCTGCACATGGAAGTCCCAAAGGGATCTCGATCTGGGAGCTGTACAATGGTCTTTGACAACTGGAGTAGACTCAGCAACGTTCCAACAAGTCCATGTGTGCCTACCGTGTTGCTCTGCTCTTGGCATGCCACTGGCTCTTCTTCACTTACACCACAGTGTCATGCTCTTTACGTTATGGACAGAGCATAGGGCGTGACAGGCACTCCTGTACTGACCCGTGACCCTGAATCCTATTGAGATTGTTCTTATCAAAATCTAGGTCTGCTCTGTTTTTAATTTAGCTTAGGAAACTACACGTAATGTTTTAATGACTACCTACCAGTAATTCAAGAGTGCTGCAAGGGAGTCAGCAAGCAGATTGCTGTAACGTTTTCCTCATCTACTTGGTTTCCCTTGTGCCATAGTATCATTTAATAAGGTGGTGTGGGTAATCGGGAAGCTGACCATCAATTACACAATTACAATGGAACATGCTCATGTCCTCTGCTCCTCACCCCATGGTCATTTAGTTAATGAGGAAGACTTACCAAATGCAGGATATATGGGTCAAAGAAACTAGCACGACTTAAACCTCCTTTATTCCACTAGGGTTAAATTTTTATAGGGATTGGTGTTAATCCAGTGGAATTTGTGTAATTAGGAAGAGCAAGGAGTTTAATGTCCCTTACTTACTAGACTTGAAGAATGACTGAAACCAAGTCTTAGTTGGTTCCCCTCAGCTGTCATCATAGTTTTCTTGGTGACTGGAAGTACTGGGTCTTTGTTCCTCCGTGAAATCAGCAGGAAATCAATATCGGCACCATCCTTACCAATAAAACTTGACTGATCAAAGACCTTTGTTGGCGTTCTTAGTATGTGAATGATGCCTAGAATTTGGGATCCCTTTAATATTTCTTCACCATGAGGCCTTCTTATCTGCTCAAAAATCCCATGAAACTGGCCTGCTGTTTTCCCCTTATGGGACAGCATGTTCTGGTCCTGCCCTTGCCCAGGGGTAGCTTTTCTTCCTACTATACCTGGCTGAATACTGAATACCTCCTGGGGCAAAAATCCACAATATAGGGTCTATATATTTCAGGAAACAGGAAGGATACAATTATCTGCCAGGAAAGGATAATGGTTACTCTAGCCAGTAACCATTCCAGTGCTCCCCATCGAATAGGGCTGGGCATCTAGATTTGCTCTAGGGGATCCAGCAGCCACCATTATCTTCATTCACTTGAAATGCAGGGACTTGGATTAAGAGTCCCCAGTGATAGCCTGGTTCTGCTGCTGAACATGGTGAACACAGATACTACCTCTGCCCCAGAATCTTTCTCATAAACCAGTGGGTCCTACACAGCTTTTCCCAGGCTTTTCTATTGTTTTACCGTGCATCAGTACCCACAAGGAATGGGGATTGTTCCTAAATTTAGGACTGTCCATGTGACAACATTATAAATTTTAAGATTAATAGGAAGGTGACTGATAAAGGTACCTAATCAAATCTTAAGGGTGTGTATGCTTACAGGAGAACATTTTGTTCCTTCTCATGTGTTTGAGGAGAATACTGTATCTTCAAAGTAGGGAGGACTGAGTTTTTTTATTTTGTTTTTCTTTGTGGATTTTTTTTTTAGGCTTCCAGGCATTGTGACTAACCCAATTCTTCTCTAGGCTCTGTTTCCGTTCCACACGTGTGGAATGAACAGTTTCCAAGTCTGCTTACTTACTGAAAATGCTCTGTGTTTTGAGGGGAGAAGTGACTCTGAATCTCCAGTGAGCAGCTTCATACCACCTCAGATCTGGCTTACAAGATAGGAAGAAGCAAGACAGCTGCTTCATGTTGCCTGTTCTGAGGCAAAATTTTCTGTACTGCGTGCTGCTGAACGCACAGTCTGCTGAGCACTGTGGGAAGAATAGGACTTTGGTTGGGAGATATGTTACTCAGCATGTTTGCTGAGTAAATAAAGTCATTACCTTTTCCTTTGAATCTGTGCAAATTTTGCATGTGGAGAGAGGTCAGCCACAAAGGGCTCTTCACTACATGCCTTTCCACTTGGAAAAGATGAAGCCTTGTCTATAGTCTTCTAATGCAGTCACATATCACAGAGCATGCTGCCTCCTTTTAGCACCTAACTTGTTCCCTTTCTGCACAGTCATCAGACTTGTCTGTGTTTAATAAAGGCTTGTGGGACTCTGACAAACATGACTCCATCTGTCTGTTCCACTTCAAGGCTGTCAGTTTTCATTTTAGGCTGTGTTTCTTGCAGGCAATGTCTCTCTGTTAGCTGTCCTTGCAAGGTTTCTTCAAATTAGATTCAGTTAGCAGCACCGAAGAGAACAAAACCATTCACTGTTTACCTATATTAACAAGTCTATTCCCTGTAATGAGAAACAATACAAAGGAAAAGTATTACTGTTCATGTAGCCTTGTGTCAAATTCATGGTTGTATCCTGATTCAGAAAATCAGCATTATCAAGAAAAGGACTTAAATACGTCTTTGCAGTTCATTAAAAGGCCTTCTTTGCGTAAAAGCAAGTTAAACATGTGCTTAAATGCTTTCACTTGTGGCCTGTGAAGAAAGACTGTAGCTGTAATGGGAGACAAAGAGAATCTTGCTCTATAAAGAGATTTGTTCTTCCACTTGCTTACTGTATTGGTAAAACCTGGCAGAACTCCAGACAAATTAAATAGGTCAGGATGTCGTCATCTATATTTGTGAACCTTAAAAAGCAGATGAAAAAGTGAAAAATTTCCTGATTTTTTTCTCCCTACTAAAGAAATGAATTTTAAACTATGGCTATCTAATGTCCGGTTTTGATCTTTCCTTTGTAGGTTAGTTGTTTTGCTTTCTTACTGTCAGTCCATTCTTTGATCCAGTAGCACTTGGCAGCCTGCAATTGCTTCATAATGTCTGCCACAGTTAACTGCACAGCTAATCTCTAACTTTTTAATGAACATGCTTTTTTGTGTGTGTGGAATTGGTGAACATTTCCTGGCAGTTTTGGTTACCACTTGTTCTGCTTATGATACAATCAGTATTCTCTTATAATTCACAGGTAGGCAGGCAAAACTGTTGCTCTACTCAGCTGTAAAGTTAACACACTTTGTGTGTTTAGCACTAATAATTTATTCAACCAGAGTTCAAATTGGTCCTACTAGAAAATTCATCAGCATATTAATGTTAAAGGAAAAAGAAAGAATCAGGAATAAGTGTGGTGTTATTTACTATTCCAGGCAAGGCAGCTCCCTGCTGGAAAGATGTGTTATAATGATGCAACAGGGATAGGAAAATTCTGTAGATATGGAATATTATGGAATGAAAAAAATGTCTTTACAGCTGATTGGTCAGTAATTTCTTATTATTACCGAAATCAACTATCCTTCATGGTATTTTTAATAAAACATATTGTTAAACTTTGCCTTTCATTATCTTTAGAAAGAACATGAGATCTCTGCCTATAATCTAAGCATTATGTGAATCTATATATTCTTTGTTAATATAATCAAAGGATTACTACTGCAAAGGATTAGAAGAATACTAGTATTCTTGTTTCAAACGTCTGTGCACGTTCTATTCTCATAAGTAATCAGAGTCCCAGCATGCATGGCTCTTCATTGTTCTGAACAATTGTAAGACAAGTGAGCACCTCTTTACATGCTCTGACGATCAGTTTCAAAACAGACCTTCTTGGACCTGCAGTCAATGCACCCTGAATTGGGTAGTTAAGCTTTGGAG